GTAACCTCAGCCCATCACTGGCCTGTGGTCATCCATACAAAGGAGCTGTTGCAGCAGCTCCCTGGCAGCGTCTCTCCAGCGTTGGGACAGTCAGGCAGCCCACGCTGGTGTCCCAGCAGTCCTGCAGGAAGTGCTTACAGCTCATGCTCCTCTCCTCTGCATGTGTGCAGTGACTCTCCATGTGGCTGGAGCCTCTGAGCGGGGTTGGCTGGGTGCTGGTGATGCAGGAAGTGTAGGAAGCCAAAGTTTACAAACAGTCACCACTTACAGTGGGTGGACAGTACCTACCAGAGCTATTGACTGTTGCCAACAGCTGTTGCACTGGGCAGGCCCTTATCCCACAGCACAGGTGCCTCGTGCTGCTTTCTTGTGAGAGGTAGGAGAATTTATTAGTGCACTGAGAGAATATGAAGGTTTGAAGGTAAAACCTAAATTTGGTAAGTCAGACTCTTACCAACACAGTCCACACCCTTGTTTGGGTTGTGTACCCCAGATACCAAGTATGTTAAAGTGAAAGTGTGTCTGTGGCTAATGATAATGACGTAAGAGAAATCCTGAATGGCTACCTAACCTTGGCAGACTGTTAGCAGTCAAAGAAGCTGTTTCTGAAACTCTGGGTCCTGATTCCTCATTTGTGATCCCAGTCTGCAGTCTGGGGCACTTTGTCCACTGTTCTGTGTTCTGCTGCTGCATCTCTTTCTGGCAGTTTGACTCTGAGGGACTTCAAATTCAGAAGATACTTGATCAAATACACCTGCCTTTGACATGTGAAGAATATCTTTTTTAAGCTTCTACTCAACCAGCAACATAAAGCATTTAAGAACTACTGAAAAGTTTGCTCAGCTAAGATTTGGATGGTCATGGTGAGTTTCCCCCATATATAAAAATTCTCAGACATCATCAGTAGGACGTGGGGAAAATGAATGACCAAATTGATCAGTTAAAAAGGACATGGTTGTTAACCACAGCATTCCTCTTTGCTCCTCTCTACCTCTTTTCTCAGGTATAACATGTGGAACATGCAGGGAATAGGGAAGCATTGCCTTGAACTTGTCTTTTTTTTACCTGTTATATCAAACTTAAAAAGTATCTGTGTGCCAGCAGTGATATTCCAGCATGAAGGAATTATGAATAGAAAACCACATATGTAATCATATGCCACATGCTTGCTAAGTCCAAAGTCTTGCATTAATCAGTTCAAACAGAACCAAAATAAATCACTAGTTGCATGTTTACCATTTTCCTCTTCATTTGGCATTTATCTTTGCTCTCCTGCTCAGTGAATTGTGAAAGAAAGTAAACACTGTCTCTGATTTGACACCACATGCTTTAGTACAACTTAGAAGTTTCAGTGAGCGGCATACTGAGATATCAAAAGAATATTTGGTTTTTACATGCTTAAATGTGAGCTTTTCCACAGTGCTGTTCCTGTTATATGATGGTTTTAATTTTAATGAGAAGGCATTTTATTATGCATTATCTGATCAGCAATGGATTTGGGAGTTATAGGAACATTTGTCCTGCATAGGATTTCAATGCTGAAATTGAAAAGGCTTATCATATTTTTTTCAACTTTTCCTGTTTCTGTACCATAATGATATCTCTATTTATCTCAAGCTTCCCTTGAGACTTTTCCACTACCTTCATGAAAATGTAATGAGAATGATGTCTGTCATCTGCTTGCAACAAAAGGAAAGAAAGAATGTTCTGTAAGTGCTGTGGATAAAAGGAAAGGGTGTCATACTGTTTTGGAAGGAGAATCAGATTTGATTTTCTATGGACCAGCATACAAATGCATGGCTTTCCTACCAAATGACTGCATCTCTTCTTCCAACGGTAGCAAGAACATTGGATGTAATTCAAGGGAAAAGACAGCTTTCAGACATCTGTTACTTATCAGTTATTTAATTTTCTTTTGTCATATACATGAGAAAATGTTCCTAATCAAGGCACTGTTTTGACATTTTTCCATATTTGATTTTTTTTGTCTGCTGCACCTCTGAAATTCCAGCTCTGGACTGCATAGCTTTTTTCACTCCATTCATTAATGTGATACTAATGGCCCAATTAATAAGTCAATAAGATGAGTGGGAAATAAATGACATTAATTTCTTAGGGAATATGTCAACAAACCACATATGAGTTTCCCATATTTGTGACTCATGACCCATTATTGACTAAACAGTTTGTGTCAAAGAATTGTGTGCTAAGTCCAGTTTATATTTACCTGACTCAAACAGGTCGGAACAGATTGAAATTTCAACACAATTGTGTAAAGAAAGTTTCAAACAGACTATACTTTTTGTATGATCTGATTTTTTCAAATGTATATTATTTGTTATATTTTTTAATGGAAAGGATTTCAGGAGGCAATTCCCCACATTACTCCAAAGCATGTATATAAATATTTGAAGTAGTATTAAAAAAAAAAAAGTCTAATTGTAATAGAAATTTTAGTATGGGTTACATTAAGGTAATTTCAAAAATGTTACCAACTCCAACAACACAAGGATGTTAAAAGATCATTTTTGAATGAAATAACCTGAAACATTTGGCAATTGTCCAATTTGAAAATTGTCCAAGCTATGAGATGTTAATGTTTCACAGAAAGAAAAAAAAAACCGACCAAACAAAACCCAACCCAAACCTCGTGCAGAAAATCCCTCTGAATCCACCTCCTGGACTTTGCTTAGTCAGACATCGGCAGTGGTTGGCAGGTCCCCGTTATGCCTCCAAGTATTGCCCCTTCATTAAGTAGAAGTGTCTTTTCAAGTGAGCTGCAGCCAGAACCACTGCTCCCAGACACTTCAGATTCCTGAGCCAGCTTGTGCTTACTTTTTAAAATGACATTTTAAATTAAGAACAGCAGTTTAAATCAACCCTATGTGATAACGTGTAGAGAAAGTTACTTTTCATAGTAGAAGAAATGAATTTTCTGTGAAATACTCCCAGGCTTGGGAGAACAGTGTGTATGTAAAGTGCCACCATGTGTGCTATAGAGCATTGACTTTCCAAGATAACTGTCTGGTTTCTTTACTTATTCTTTGCATAAATAACGTGAGCTGAAAAAATACAATGCAGACCTCACATACATAATGCAGGGAGACATAACTACAGAAACCCCATTGTGCACATGCATGTGTACACTTCTACATTTCAGTTCTTTTCTTCATTTGTTTGTTTCTCAGTTTATCTGGACTAAAATACAGGACTAAGACAAAGATACTCAGAGTATGGAATTGCTCTGTGATCAGTTAAGGCCCATAACGTAGTTGGTACAAGTCCTTCCACAAGGAAAAGCAGATAGAAAAGCTCAGAGAGACTACATCTATATGAAGTCAGTAAACTGATGTTTTTCTTTGTTTTAATGCAGAATACTCAACAAATTTTAGGTACAATTTTGTTCATTCCATTTCAGATGAAAGAGGGAATACAGCAAATGCAACGCTTGTTCACATCCACTTTGCGTTGACAGAGATATTGCTTGAAATTTTCTTGCAAGTTTAATTGCTTTCTGTAGCTCGGGTATCACTGTTGTACAGTTCTATTGACATTCAGAACTATTTTGAAGTAATACAATTAGTTCTAATGGTTTTGGGTCACCAAAGGCTTCATGTTGGCTTTATAGTACAACTGTACTCTTTCACTTACAGTTCCACTGACTCATTCAGAACTTTATTCAAACTGCACTTTAAGTTGGTTAAACTCAACAGATAACAAAGAAATAGCTTGGTAAGAAAATAAAGATTTTATGAGTATTTTTGTCCTTTTTGATTATGTTTTTCTTTTTCATTGTTTTCTTGTTTTCTAGTTCTTCTATATATAGAAGAGCTTTTTGACTTAAACCTTTACCAAACTTTTTGATTTAGACATCAAAAGCTGAAAGCGGCCCACTGCAAAAACACCTTGTGACCTCTAACAACAATCTGCTTCATTTGGAAAAGTATCAAAACCTCAACAGAGCAAAGGCCTTTGTGAAAATCATTGCTAATGAATGTATTAATAATGTGGTATGACAAGGAATTAGAAGATTAAATATTCATGTTCACGTCGCTGTGTTACCTCTTACTGTATTGTATTACAGCAAAGATTCTTAAATAAATGATCTGGCTTTGGACTGATGTGCAGTGAGTTTAGATTTATGTGACTCACTATTGCAGTAGAGCTGTTTGTTTCTTATAGGCTCTGAATCACCCATATGCTGCATAAGTAAATATTAGTTTTGGGTTGTGGGTCATTCTTTTTTGAATCCAGCTGGGGTTTTAGTAGGTGCTGGACAGCAAAGCGAGAAACAATCCTTATTCAAAAGGGGTCTTAGTCTAAGTCCTGGAATCTGCAAACTTTCTGGTAAATCGTATAGTTACACTGTGTCTCCTGAAATTATCCCAGACTATCTGCCACTAGTCTTTGGAGATACATGATCTGAAAAAAGTAAGTCACTACTGTTCATATGCACAGTGGAAAAACCAAAAAAGTTTGAGGGCATTACTCCAAGTAGCTGAGTTTTCTTGAGGACAGCAGGGAGCAGGTCCCCTACGTACAGCCAACTATCCTGACTACATTAAAATGTGTTGGGTCAACCATGAGGGCACCTGAGCTTCTAAAACAGAACATTTTAATGTCCAAAACCATGTTAGTCTTAGTCAGAATGGGTAGATGATTTTGGGATGAGCAGAAACCATCTGGAAAAGATGGTGCGACGTGAAGGGGCTGCCGGAGATGCTGAGGGGAGGGGAGGCAAGGGCGGTGCGGAGCCGGGGCACTGAGGGGACGGGGACACGAGAGCAGCGGAGGCGCGGGGCTGAGGGGGCTGAGGGGTTTGAGGGGTCTGAGGGGTTTGAAGGGACTGAAGGGTTTGAAGGGGACTGAAGGGTTTGAGGGGGCTGAAGGGTTTGAGAGCTCCCGACCTGCAGTTCCCGCCGCCGCCGCCACGCGCCGCCCTCCGCCGGCCGGATCCGCCCCGCCGCGCCCCCACCGGCCCGGCAGGGGGCGCCGCTCCCGCCCGCGGGGCGCTGAGGCTGCCGGGAGCCGCCATCTTCTCAGCGTGCGGCACCGCCAGAGGATCCCGTGCCGGGGCCGCGCCGAGCGGGACGGGACGGGACGGGACACGACGCGCCCGGTGAGTTGTCAGGTCAGAGGAGCACTGCCGCGCCCGGCAGTGCCCGGGGCAGCGGTGGGACCGGCGGCAGCGGGCGGGACCCCGGGGCGGGTCGAGCTGCACGGTTGCCCGCGCTGGCGGGTCTCGCTGCCCCACGCGGCTCGGCGGGGTCCCCACGCGGGGCAGGGGGCTCGGTGTCCCAGCGCCGCCCTCACGGCGGTGCCCCGGGGGTGCCGAGGGCCGGCGGGGCCGCCGCTGTTCCTGCCTGGCCGCTGGCGAGGCCGGCGGGGCGTTGCCATGGGGACGGGCACCGCCGCCGCCCGGGGCTGCCCCGAACCCAGCCCTGCCCGCTCTGTTATTGTTGTTCTTTTATTAGACCCAACAGGCTTTCTAGAATTCCCTTTCTGCCTCTTCTTAATAAAAATGCGATTTTGTTCTGTTTTGCTTTGTTAAGATCGCGGTAGTTTTTAAGAATTCCGCAGGGAGAAGTTCAGTCAGGTAATATTTTTTTTTTTTAGATGTAATTGAAACTTCAAGCAATTCTCTTTTGCACAATAGCTATGCTTTTACGCTTATATATTTCTCTTTAAGTTTACCTCTGCTTTTGTGTTACTATCGGATGCTCCTGTTTTCCTGCTAGAAGCCCTATAAATGATTTTAAATACTCATTTCAGTCTGGGTAATGTTTGTCTTGTTCAACTGTTGTTAATCTGCATCTGCTACAAAGTTCAAATATGTTTGCATCACTGCTTTCATGATCCTTTCCCTGCTACAATCTTACTATTTTCCTTGCTGTTTTCCTTGCTATACTTGTAGCTAACTGGGAGGATGCTATTTCTTCAATGAACGGTTTGAAACTACAAGATCTTAGAATAGACCGATTTGGAAGGGAAAGCAACCAACTGTATGAAAAATCACTTTTTTGTCAAATACTTTCTTTAAAATCTAATACTTTTAAGAAGAGCAGTAGGAAATATATTTACTTAATTTTCTCATTGTTTATCCTGAAGTAAATCCCCATGTAACAGAGAAGACAACAGTGAAGTATTCTCTCATGTAGTGGATTGGTTGATTGAGCTTTTATTTGGATATTTTTCATTTTCTTAATTGCTTCATTATGCTATCTGCTTGATTGCTTGGCAGTTTTCTTTGAAGTCCTTTAAAGAACCTTCAACTACTTCCTTCCGTAGAAAGCTTGGCACCCACAGCATTGGCCAAGAAGGGCAAAGGAACAAGTTAATGATTGTTCTGCTCCTCCTCTGACCTTGCCCTTTGTAACCAGCAGCAAAAGTGAAAGAATTCTGATGAGGGTGGTTGGTTGGTTGCGGTATTTTTTGACTGCTTCCACTGATATGAGTAAAAAAAAAATGTGCAATCATATCTCGATTTTAGAAGTATGAAAAAGGATTTCATTTCAGCGTGTACCTGTGATAGGGCTTCTGTGTCTCTTGCTGTCCTCCCAGGCTGGGTGAGACAGCATCAGGGAGCTGAAGAGTTCCAGAAAATCCAATTTTTAGTCGATACAGAATTTCTTAGGAGAGAGAAGTCTGGATCATGGGATTTTGTTCTGTCTGCTGTTACAGTCTTTCTCCTTTTTACTGCCCTCTAGTTTTTAATTCCAGGACTTTGTTTTGTTTTCTTTGGATTTTTTGGAGTATCTCCAATTTATGTCCCTTGCTAGTTTTAGTAAAACATCTACATTTCAGATTTTCCCTGACCTCAGACTCTTTCAACTTAAGAATATATTTTAGTTTGGATTTCTTGACGGAGAGAGAATTTTAAAATGTTTTTCTGGTCATAATTTTGAACTTGTGCCTTCAGAAACAATGCTAAAGGTTATGTGAAAAGGAAGTTTTTTAACCTCTGGTTTTTTTCTATCAACAGGAATGTAAATACTGTAATTTCTTCTAAAGATTGGTGGAAAATAGGGATGAAACCAGTATCTGCTTTGAATAATCTATTGCTATACTTGGTCTGATTGGATGCTAATTTCTTAGGGAGAACTATTGTAAGTACCTTTTGTATTTTTTTGTTTCAGCAACTAACAGTGTACAGTCTTTTGCTGCTTCTTATTTTTCATAGTATGTGGTCTTTTTCATGGAGTTGTAATCCAAAATATTCTGAACGTGGTGATTTAAAGTCAGGCTCTAGGAATAGCAAGATTTATGAACATGAAAAAGGTAGCTGTGTATGAAGATTAACAGGCTGTTAAGAATGAAGAAAGCATACTGAAACTTGAATGGATTGTCACTCCTATCGTAAAAATGTAAAATGAAGCTTCACCTATCCTGCAGATCATTGTCTTTCTCCTTCTGTGTTTTGGAGAGCTTCTTATTAAATAGAAAGGCAAACAGAGCGTTTCCAACAGGTGCAACTTTCATTTTTGGTACAGTATTATAATTGAGATTAATCCCCAATTCGAATTTCAGATTAAAATACAGAGGATAATTTAAGACAAACTTCCAAGTTTGTGTATATATATATGTACATATGTAAAATATACATGCAGATTCTTCTCACTGTTTAATAGCAAAACCTTCATGCCAGTGGCACAGCAAATATGTGCCCCAGGCTGCAGCAGTGACCGTGCCCTGAGCTCAACTGGCTGGGCCTGAGCTCTGTCTAGGGCAGGGAACGCCCTTGGCAGGGCGAGGCAGGAGCCACCGACTCCCTGAGCTTGGGCATTTCTGCAGCTTGGCTTTAGAATGCAGGAGGTTCAGCAGTTTTGCTGTGGCATTAATCACGTTGCTGTAGCTAAAGCTCCATAGCATTACATCTCCCTGATGAGAGATGCCCTCTTTTCCTGTAGTTTTCTTTAGGTTTGAAGAGTTTGTAAAAGGATGTAACACTAAATCTGAAGCACGGCTCATACTCAGGGCACTGCAAGTTTTGATGGGTGTCTTGTGCTGTTGCCTGTTGTCCTTACTAACCCCTGCTGACTGGGTAATTTTTGTGTTTCTTAGCCAAAGGAGCAGTAACTTTGGCTTTGGCGTGTCAGTTTTTCTCATACATACAGCTGTACTTCATCTGAAGACGTTTAACTCTCAAGTTGACAAAAAAAATTCTTTTTTTTCTCTACCCTTAGCAGATGCAAATTTCTCCCACTCTTATCTATGGAGAGCCCTGCTGTGAATCCATTTTTCTTGTTTATTGCTCTATTCTGTACCCATATTACTTCTTCATGAAGAAAAATACAATGTGAAAATAATTCTCAGAATGGTATGTTCCTGTTGGCCTGGTAATGTACTTTTCAAAGATGGGGAGAATGTGAGAGTCTTGGTGGCTAAAGTAAAGAATTAGGAGGCTCTAATAGCCTGCTGTAACCTTGAGCAGCTGACTGACTTCCTGTGATGACTGACCCTGATGGGAGGCTAAGTAGGACCTGTCTGAAGAACAGACAGATGAAGCTGAGCTGATGGGTTACGTAAGCTTTGGCACTGAATCAAGAGGCATTCTGTAGACACACACCTTCTCTCTAAAATAAAGTAAAAAAATCTCCAAGCAGAATTTTTTTAAAAATTGCTATTGATAATTATATGTAAATATGCTAAAATTTGTAAAGACTGTTCAAATAAATTCTGTGTTTCTGGTAGTTTTAATCCTTATAAGTACACTTCCAGTTAGCAGCACGCACCTTCCTTGATCTGGTTGCGGCTGAGCAGGCAGAAACTGAAGTTCACTGAAGTGACATGTGCATAATCTGTGTGTCAGCCAGTACAGTATGTTCTGTTTGATATTTACTTGGTGCACTACTCACATTTCAAAATTCAGTCAACAATAAACACTAGCGTTGCTCTTACAGTCAGCAAGCAAGGGGCAGAAGCTCCATGTTTATGTACCCTTTGGTCAGGAACACGAGGCTGTGCAAGTGCATTTCGTATTTGGAGGTTCCTGCCATGCTTGTTGTGTGGAAGAGTTAAAAATAACTCCTTAAAATGCCAATCTCTTTTAGGGTTAGGGCTAGAAATAACCATATCTAATAAAATCTACTTGAAAGGGACAGTGGGTTCTGTACTTTTCCTTCGAAGCATTTCAGATCTAGGTAATATGATAATGTCATATTTTTACATGAAATTGTACCTGTTAATATTTTTTAAGCTGAATTAAGCGTGGGTCTTTTTGCAGAACTACAGTATACACTTTTGCATTTTACATAAGTTAACATTTTTTTTCTATAAATTTTTGTCATTATCTGTTCTGCTGAAACATAATCAATGGACTACCTAAACTGGTACTTTGGCTTGGAAATGGGTGGTGTCTTGTGACAAATTGCCTTCAGGTGTTTAAAAGGAGGATTAAACTTGGCTCAGTTTCTGGAAGCCTTTTAGGCTAAAATAGATTTTGTTTACTCACTGTACAAGGAAATATCGAATGCTTCAATAATAGTTAAAATAGCTGGGTTTTATGAGTGAGGATGATCTCTAACATTTCTGGATGTTCTACTTTTGATTCATATGTGCTTAATTAAAGCCTAAGCAGAAAGGCTTAATTAACTTCTGCATACATAAAGTATAGTCTGAACTCAGCTTTGCTGCCGGTATGTATTATAAAGTCTTTTATACCTGTCTTAGGTGGCTGATTTTTGTGAAATTATGTTTCTTAGCCATAAACTATTCAAAAATTTACCCTCAGTCATTTTTCTTCTGCAGGTAATGCCTGTCTGAGCGCTGCTGTGATGCAGGATATTGCTCTAAATCTTTACTCCAACTAACTGGAGTGAGGCAACTGTTGAAATACCTGTGCAGAAATACTATTCGTGAACTAGTTCTAATTTCACACTTTGAATGGTTGTTTTTAACAGTTGTTTGAAATAGAAATAATTGAACTTGATGCTGCATTTAAAGCAGTACTAGTATTGTATATAAAACAGTACTTACGAAGGCAAGGAGTTTGCCTCAATGCTTAATGAGTATGGTAATGACTTTTTCTCGTAGATAAAATTATCCTGAAATGTAAACCAGCCATGTTTAGAGGGGCTGTTGTAAGGAAAGGGCTTCATAACGTGGATGGAGCATCATTAAAGCTGACAGATACCTGTGAGGGACTTGTTAGTTGAACCTTTCTGCTCCAAGAGATCATGATTCAACCATGTAGTTGATACAATTTGAAAAAGTGAGTTTAATAGAAAGAATTGATCTGTCATGACTGGACCTTTTGTGTCAGTACTTTCTGCTCTCTGGGTGTGTGCTTTTCATACTGTTTGGATTGTGAGGTTGAGGTAGATTGCTTACCTCCAGAGACTCCAAATGTGGCAAATATTTTGGTTATTGCCATGTTGAGGGCATAGTTTTTTTTAATTCACTGTTTTAACAGAAGTATTGAAGTGTTCATAGCAGTCTAGAACAAACTGTTTGAAAGAATAAAGCTGATAATCTCAGGTTTCTTTGATGGTGGAGGGGTAGAGCTTTAGTGAAAGAATCCAGAAAAGCACTGCAAGGCTCAGGCTTGTTCATGCAGCATAGACTTAAATATGGTTTGAAGATCATCCCTGACAGAGGGCATTGCAGAATCTGGGCCTTACTTAAGGGACAATATTTGTTCAAATGGCTTTGGTAAAATATATTCTTTATCTTAAGAAAGATAAGTTACTTCCTGTAGGTAGTGTGTTCATGTTATAAGGAAATTCATATATATATATATAATTCTTAATGCATATGACACTATTGTATTAGACTTATTTTTTCTTTAAGAATGGGAGATTCTAAGATGAGTTCTGATATGGGGGCAGTGGTGCCCACAACAGAACATGGAGGTAGTTTGTGAGAAGTGGGGGCATAAATAATTCTGTCATAACTGTTTTTTAACTTCGAGTATCATAGTCATCATTGTAATATGTGATCATGGAATACAACATAAGGAACAAAAAAAGCACAAACCAAGGGTGATCTTTGTGTCTCCAGTAAATTCTTGAGCTCTGTCAGGCTTGTCTGTTGTCTTTACCTCTGATTTCACCAAGGACAGGGAAGGCAAATTACAGAGACTGGCTGAGTAGATCATCTCTGATCAAAGTTATCAAAGAGGGATATAGAGTCTCTACTCTGATTTTAGAGTAAATATAAAACAGAAAGGTTAATATGCAAAAATTTAAATAGGATGAGTTTTTTCCCTGATTCTGAACTAATTTCTGTATAAACAAAATAGAAATGAAGACACTGCTATTCATACAGTGAAAACATGCATTTGGTTTGATTTTGTTATGGGACAGTTTGAGGAATCTCTGAAGGATGTGAGGTAGGCTTTATTTTCTTATAGAAAGTCAAGTATCAGATAAGAAAATTTTGCAGCTGTTTATAATACCAGTTCTTTTATGAATGCTGTGTAGTAGTAGTAGTAGTGATGACAGATGCATAAAAGTCACTTGAGGTCTTTACAGAAACAGGTCTAGAGGCTTTAAAATACAATTTTAAAAGGAAGTAAACATGAACTTTTTATGAAAATCCAATTGTTTTCAATATATGTGTATATCAAAATACATGTTTTGTGACAGCTTTCGTATTACCACGTGTAATTACTTGTTTTGGGGTTTTTGCCCTTCAAAGTCAAAACAAGCATATAGGTCAGATTTGTAGGTCAGTCAATGTAATTTATTTAGAGGCTATTTTTGAAGTTGCTAAGCTAAAACAGAAAGCTACAGTATAATTTCTGGTGTCATTACATTAGTCATGAGCTGACATACAGAAGGAATTAAAGCTGGTGCTGGGAAGTCTTGTGGTTACATGAAGTGCTCGTGCTGAGTCTCTGACGTCACATTTTTTCCACATGCTTATACCACAATTACCTTTGTCATCTTGGCAGGGGATGCAGCAATCCTGCAATGCACAGGCATTTGAATTTCCCTCTCTGCCTTCTGAATTCTAAAAATGCTTTTGTCCTTCCTGTAGAAACTAAATCTGGTATTATATAAGCGATTATTATAATATCTGCATTGACCTCACAGAAAGTATAATCAATATTAATGCAGGTGTTGAGGAAGGTAAATTTTTGCCTGCTGGCCTAACTTAGATGAGGACTGGAAATAGATGTATTTCAGGATTCATGTAGAAAACGAAGGACACTTGTTCAAATAAATACATATTCTGTTCTTTTTTTTTTTGTTAATTGCTGAATTATTACTGCTTTGTGCTAAGAAGTTGATTTGGGCATTCTCACAATAATTTATTTTACCATTCTGAGATGTGTGTGGGCAACAGCCAAGACTTTCTAAGTCAAGAATATCACTGCACTTGTCTGGACAAGGAGAGAATTTTTACTGTGCTCTGATTTCATCCATGCTGGGATGAAGGCAGTGACTGTCAGTTTGTGGTTCTTGCACAGGACCTGCTGTAGCCAAGTTGCTCTTTCATCCTTGGGAGAGATGGGGCTTGTCTGAGCCCTCTTAGCAGCCTTCTGATCTTCTGACACTGATCTTGAAAGCAGTGTTAATATGCCCCAGTGAAACACCTAATAGTTTATTTCACAAGATTTTTTGCTCAAAGGTAAACTGAGATCTGTTTTTACAATATAGCAAAAATGCAAAAGCTTTTTTGTTTGCTTCTGAGTGACAGGTAATGGGTGAGATGGAAGGGAAGAGTGACTCCATTTTAATACACAAAGGGTGGTAGTTGAATTTAGCCAGTTTCCAGTTTGTGGGTGGGTGTGATCTACCCTTCTGTCTGTGAAACTAAACCAGATATTCTTTGTTTAGGGAACCTAAAGGAGAGCCCTGCATATGCAGAGATGACGTGTAATGTCCCACCTAATCCCGACAGTGCCACTGCAGACAGTGCTGGTGGCCAGGACTGGGCACAGGAACGCTGCCGGCTGGGAACGTTTGTTGAATTCCCCCTCGGCTGCCCGGTGCCGGCGGCAGCGCTGGCACGAGCTGGCTTTGTTTACACTGGAGAAGGTGACAAAGTGAAGTGCTTCAGTTGCCATGCAACTGTGGAAGGATGGGCGTCTGGGGATTCTGCAGTTGAGAGACACAAACAGCTTTCCCCAAACTGCAAATTTATTACTGACTCTGCTTTTCTGGAAGATGATGTGGATCCTGTAGGCCAGAACTACCAGCACAGAACTGAAAATGGTTCCAGCAATCCAGCCCTCCTGTGTGCTCTGGATGAGCCTGAGGTGGAGGCAGATTACCTTTTGAGAACTAGGCAGGTTGTGGATATGTCAGATACTTTGTACCCTAGAAACCCCGCTATGTGCAGCGAAGAAACAAGGTTAAAGTCTTTTCACAACTGGCCCCTCAATGACCAACTGACACCAAGGGAATTGGCTAATGCTGGATTTTATTATACGGGGATTGGTGATCAAGTGGCGTGTTTTTGTTGTGGTGGAAAATTGAAGAACTGGGAACCCACTGACAGAGCTTGGTCAGAACACAAGAGGCATTTTCCCAAATGCCTTTTTGTGCTGGGCCGGGATGTTGGAAATGTTCCAAGTGAATCTATTCCTGATGAGTTTGGGGTAAGTGGTCTGAACAATGCACAGCACCCAAGGAATCCATCTATGGCAAAATATGGAAGACGTTTGCAAACGTTTTTATCTTGGATATATCCTGTGGACAAGGAGCAACTTGCAGAAGCTGGGTTCTACAGTGTAGGTAAGCCAGACCTTAGAATGGCTAATACCTTTTACAAAGAAAATGTAAATGAGAAAATGGAGGGTTTTTTTTAGTTGAAATTGTGAATCAGTAAAATAAAGGTTTTATTTCTTATTAATGTAACATTTTTAGTTGAAAACTTAATGTTATACTTACTAGAAATTCTTGTGTGGTTCCTCAGGTAATGGTGATCATGTTGTGTGTTTCCACTGTGGTGGAGGATTGCAAGAATGGAAGGAAAATGAAGATCCGTGGGATCAACATGCCAAATGGTTCCCTGGGTAAGGCATTTTTTACTGTTTTCTTGGTGCATGTCTGAGTCTTATTTACAGTATGTTGCATTTTAATGACAGAACATACTAATAAAGGTTTCAGAAGGTTAATTATGGCTTAATGTTTAGATTTATGGAAAAAATTTATGTTGGCTTATTTGTAGGCACTATTAAAGGGAAGGGAAGGTTTCTGTGTTTGGACTTAACTGGTGTCTCAGCAAGAAGAATTATGTCATTTTGTGAATATGTATCTGATTTTTTTTTCCTCATTATCCAAGTGCTACATTTCAATGGTTATTTTAACAGCTACATACAGATCAACATCTGTAACTTATACCAGGATACAAAATGACTCAGCTTCTGTCACAGTGCAAACAGAGCTGAAAAAGTCAGCAGTGGCATGGAATTCAAAACATAGTTCTGTATAATTTTAAAGGATGGAGGATTCCAAACCCAGAAGCACTTTTTAGAAAGACAGACAATGTTGTCTTAAATCTGTATTGGGGAAAGGAAGAACAGTATATGACTCAGTAGTTCTTACAAGTGGGCAGAAGCTATCCAAGTACAAAGTCTCAGTTACTTATGTAACATTGATAAAATCCATGTCTTTTATGTATTTGCTGCCAAATTTCTCTTTTATGGTGAAAGGCTCTCTGGAAGTTTGAGATGGGTATTTATGTATTAGCTGTTCCCTTTTCTAACAGTGGTACAGGCTTTTAATTATTAGCCTCTGCCACTTGAAAGAGATACAATTCCAGGTTTTTGGCTTGGTGCAGCAAATGGTTGAGATGTGAATTTTTGCTTCTTATGTGGTTTTAGTAAAACTAAATATTTTCATTTTTAGGTGCAGATTTTTGAGCAAGGAAAAGGGGATAGAATTTATAAATAATGTTCACTTAAGAGATGCATGTAGTGATCCAAAAGTAAGTGCCCTTGCTTATTAATCATTCTGTTAAAATATGAAAAGTCTTAACATCATTTTCATATGAAGTTACTCTTCTTAAGTATCTATCATTTAATCCTCCTGCTGCTTCTGTCACTGGCAGGAAGTGAAAGACATCAAAGTCTGGTTTTGGTTCTGTCAGTCAGAGTTCACAATCTCTCAGTTCTCTGCAGCTGGATCATGGATCACAGCCAGGGTCCTCTGTCTATGCTGTATATTGGGTACTGAACAAGTGTCATTTGTTTTATAGCCTGGGAGCCTAAGGTTTATGATGAATAAAGTTAGATACATTTTCTTTTCTTGTTACAGACAGTATGAAAGGAATAACAAAATACTGATCGTTTAGCAATTGTTCAGAGTGGATTTCATGAATAATCGAGATCAAATAGCTATTTTCTGGTTTGTAACTCCATAGGTTTCCTACTTCTTCAGAATTGTAATTTTGGTTTTTTGTATTTCACTTTTAGACAGAAGCTGCTGAAGGGACAATACTTCCTAAAGGTATTCCCCCCCTATTTTGGAATATCCACATTTGAATGTATAGCGAAGGAAATGGTTAAATTTAAAAATAACCCTTTTACACTTTTAAATAAAGCATGACAGGCAAATTGTTGGGTGATACTCTTCCCTTGCTACATTGCTTCCAAAGAACTGCAGAATGAATTTTATTTCTCTCAGGGGAAATATAGTCATGGTTTGATAAATATTGTAAAGCAGAGATTGCTGAGCCATGGAAGGAGAATGTACAGGATGCAGTGTTACAGCAGTGAGTGTGCATCCAGTATGGAATTAGTGCTGGAGGATGGATGTTCAGGAATACTGAACTGAATCCTTTCTCATGGGGCAGGAAGAACTAGGCTGTTAAATGGCAAGGACTAGGAAGCTGAGAAAGCAGAAGCAGTTTGTTGTGCTCCAGTATTTCACATTCCTGCAATGCTTTGCACAAATACCAAGCAATTAAAAGACTGGACAGTTAAAGGGGTAGCAGGAGGGCAGTCAAGCAGCTTCATCCCAGGGAATGAGAGCTGTTGCCTCTAAGAGTGGTTACACAAAACCTGTGTAAGAAATCTCTCACACTGCTCATCTATGAGTATGAAAATTAGATTAAAAAAGTCTTGCTCTTTGAACATTCTTGATAAGAGGAAGGGGAAGGTCCAACATGCTGAAAAATGCTTTCCCAAAGCAGTGTTGTGCCTTACCATGGATAGACCTGCTTGCCTGCTGATGGTGCTGTGTTTTGGTTTTATGAATTCAGATTACTTACTGGTTTCTCTCAAAATATGTATGGGTTTTTTTTTTCTTCCTGAACTGAAATAAAATTATTATTACCAAATACTTACTTTTCCACTGTGCCTTGGAATTTTGAATGAATTTCAGTTATAGAATTAGTGATACTAGTTATAAGAGATGTGTTATTTAAGTAGTTGATTTGAACAGCAAATCTGGGAGGATTTCTATATAATAAGTAGATGAAGGAAGACTGGGAAAGCCAGGATAGAAAAAACCTCAAACCTGCAGTTTTGGGTGTTTTGACAATGCAGTTTTTACAAGTAGCAAAATTCTCAAATTGGAAATATTGTTCCTTTGGCTACATATTTGCAAAGGTGTCTTAGAGTACTGTAGTGAATAGTGTCCAGTAATTAGATTCATCCTTGTTAAATTGTTTTTATTTTTTTAATTTCTTTTTTTAGATGGTCTCTTACAGAATCCTTTGGTACAAAGTGCCATAGCCATGGGTTTCAGTTTGTCTGAGATTAGGAACACCATGGAAAAGAGATTGCAGATGACTGGAGAAAGTCACACATCTGTTGAGGATCTGGTAGCAGACTTAAGTACTGAGAAAGAAAATGCAAGGGAAGAAGAACCAAATGAAATCCCAATTGAGCAAGATGAGCTTATTCAATTGCAAAACCTCTGTGTGTACTTTCATATCAGCTCTTTAGTCTGTGAAATACTTTTTATTGTTACCTGTTTATCCTACCCTCTGATCCCAGCCTTACCTGAGGTGAAGTTACAGTTTTGTAACTTAAAATTCAAGGGATTTGTGTTTGGACATTCAAAATGCTGAACAAAGAGGGCATTAGAATATTGGAGTGTAGCAGCATTTATAAGTATCATTTATAAAATAAGTAATATTAGTACCTCAGAAGTGTGTAATACTGGCAGTCTAGTGTGCTTCTGGGAAAGGTTATACTTGTTAACAAAAAAATTGTAGTGAAAGCAAGAATAACTGTAGGGTTCTGATTCAGGAGACTTGGAATTTAAGACAAGCATATGGGTGGCATGGTAGGCAGAGATCTTGCCAGCCTACCCCTTTTAGTAAGATTTTTAATGGACATTATGGGCAAAAAATAAAAATAAAAAAGAGGATTCCATGCTGCAGCTGGGATTCCTCTCGGGTTTTTTTTTGTTGTTCTTGTTCTTTTAAGGGGGTGACCTTTAAATCATATGAAGAAAACATTGTCCTTGTGTTTAGACAGACAAAAAAAGAACAAGATTCAGTGGCCCTAAGTATGTTAATATTTTTTTGTGTGTTTATTTTCCTCAGACCTCAGCACTGAAGAGAAGTCAAGACGCTTGCAAGAAGAAAAGCTGTGTAAAATCTGTATGGCTAAAGATGTGTCCATTGTCTTCATTCCCTGTGGTCACTTAGTTGCCTGTAAGGAATGTGCTCAAGTACTTAGTGAGTGCCCTTTGTGTCGCACAGATATCATGAGAAAGCAGGAAATTTTTATGTATTAGTGAACTGCACAGCACTAGGGATGCAAATGTTTCCTGCTTTGTTGCATGAAACATGTGCAATGTAATGTTAAAAATGCAGTTAATTCCAGGATGTAACCATATGGCAGGATTTAGATTTTTCTGCTGTCAAACTCTACAGGTTTTAACACTTCAAAAATTATTTAAATTATTTTTCTGAAGTGATTTTTTTTTAATGTAAAAAGCAATATTAAAAGGCAAAGCTGCATATTTTGTACCTTCAGTTTGTAGACTGAAAGCCCAAATGATGCAAACCTTTATATGATCATTCCTTTGCTTCACTTTGGTAGGACTCTGTATGACTGAAGTTTATGCAAATACAGTTGTATAAAGAGCCTGTCCCTGTATAAAATTTGTAAGTAAGTTAATTTAAAACACTATTGTATACATGTGTATTATAGCTGAGATTTTAACTTCTTAAAAATGTTATGTAAGATTGAAAATATTATTTCTCTAACTGTGGTTGTGACATAATTCAGAGTATACACACAAAGCTGCTGCTGCAATACTTCACCTTATGTTTACTTCTACTTTGTAAGTGTGTCTGTTAGGAAATGTGTCTCTGTATATAAAATGTACAATAATTTCATTGATTTTTGAGAACTCAACAGAAATGGAGGACATTTTTTGTACCTTGTGCCCCTCATGAGAGGAGTGGGCAAGTTAAGAACTATTTCAATGAGAGTCACCTTAAAATACTCAAAACTTTTTCATACTGGGCTGAGCCTCCACTTCCAATTAAAAAAGTATCACAGCTTTGTATTTAAGTACAGCTGTTTTATGATCACTCTTCTTAATTATGTGACTTCCTTCTTTTGTGAAGTACTGTGTTCTGTGTCTATATTTTTGAGTTCTGCACACTAAGAGATTTAGAATATAGAACATACAGAATATAGTTTTTCACATGGGAAAAGTTTTAAATCAAATACACAGAAATTTAATACCTACCTTTTCTATTTTTTTAAATCTATGCTATGTAATGTAATGAATACATAAAGTGCAACCCAATTGTTCCTTGATCAGTGTATTTGATTCTCACCTGCAAAAAAAAAAAAAATTTATAATAGAAGCCTGCTTTCTCTTGTTTTTTGTTTTATAATTAGACTGTTATTAATGTAACCACAGTGTTATTAAGCATAATGAACATATTTTAATTGGAGAGGAAATAAAATCTTTTGTTTGTATAAATTAAAGTTGTTTAATTAGAAAATTAAACTACATTAATTTTACTATTTTTTTTCTGATAGGATTTTGTCTTACAAATAGATGATGACTAGAAATTCATAAAGAATTCAGCACAGATGGGGGTTTTTTGCCTTCTTATGCCTTTGTGAAGAGTTCAGAGTTTCAGGGGTCCTGCATGCAGAGATTTTTCTGGACTGATATGGACTGGAATTCTGATAGGCTTGTTCCTTGCACCCCTTTTTACTTGCAGGGAGGGTTTTCTGTCCTTTTCCTGGGAAACTGCAGGGTGTTGTTAGCTCCTGAGCTGCTGGATCTTGCCTGAAATAGCTTTTTCAGTTAAGGTTGCAACCTGTGTTTTGCTGACTCGCTCAAGCAGATGGTTGGTTACCTAACCTTGACCTGGGTCATGTGAGAGGTGTTTGGATCAGCCAGATCCAACTTCCAGGCTGCAGGACTTGGCACGTGGCAACAAAGGCCTTGTCTGGGAAAGAGACTGACCAAATTTTACCTAAAACTATTACAAAACTAAGTCCTAGTAAGGAGATGATTTGGGGTGTAAATGAAGTATGTAAAGTGGCTGAGAAAAGCTGGGAAGAAGGTCACAAATAATCCCTTCTAAACTGACAGGGAGAGGAAACACATTGTCCAAGTAATATGGAAGCAGAGCATAAATGCTTCACATTAAAGCTTTTAAAAGGTATCCTTCTGTATTTTTAAATTCATATCCCTTACTGCAGCTTTTTCATATAATATTATAAAAGATACAGCTATAGAGCAATTCAACTTGTAATCACTTAGGGACATTAAAGGGTTAAAACCCTGTTAGTGAGATGGCAAAATAACTGCTCTGCAGGTTTAGGTGTTTGGTTGGGTTTTTTTTTTAATACAATTAGAGTTCTATTCAGACCAAATGTGAAAAAATAATTAGCATAGTCATCAAATTCTGACAGCTTGAAATAGGAAGATAGTTTTTTCAAATCACTTTGATTTTTCAGTATCTTAAAGAGAGAAGTTCCATGGCCACTGATACTGGGTGTTTAAAGTGTTTAAAGGCAGAGAAATGAAGGATGCAAATACATGGAATGGAAGCACAGGGGCTTTGAAAAGGAGGTTAGCAGCAGGACAAAGATGCCTTGGGGGTTGAATTTTATAAAAGAGTTACTTGGGATCTGTGCAATGTATTTAAATACAAGTATTCAGTAACTTTCTTCCAGCGGCTTCTGTGTAAAATCTTCCATTTTATTTGTAGCAGCAGAACTCTTTGCTGCTCTGGATACGTGGGAGGTTTACGAGGGTTTTCAGTGACACTTCCTGGAAGTGTGTTGTTTAGAAAGCATGGAAAGCACACGCCTGGTTTAGAAACAGAAGGCTAAAGCAGGGAAAACCGGGACAGTCACTGTTTGTGTTACATATGCAGCTTTTACTCAGCTGGAGTAAGATAGTATCTACAGATTTGTAGCTGTCTGGACTTCTTTTAATTTGTTTTGAGACTTGATCCAAGGTTTCTAGCACAATAAAAAGTTCTTAAATTATTGCAGCTTGGGTTTTGTTTTTTGGTTTTCGTTTTGGTTTTGTTGTTGTTTAAGGGTTTGGGTTTGTTTGTTTATTTCTTTTAATTAGAGTATTTAAACATTTCTTTTAACATGGCCTGGTTAGTTTTGACCACAGTGCTCCAGTGTTTTTGTTAGCTCTGCATGCAGTCTGAAGCTACAGGACAAGTTTTCAAAGCATTGTTGTTAACCTGAGGCCTGGCTTTTAGTTACATTTTATGTTTGTTTTATTGAAACTTAACAAAGATGTCAATACAAAGGATTGGAATAGAGTTCTAGCTGGGCACTGGGTTACCATGTGCATGTGAAGCATCAAGCTGAAGGGTTGGGTGCTGGGATGGAACCTTCCACGGGGCACGGACATTTGCTGCCCCAGCATTCAGGAACTGCTTGGAAGAGACTGCTTTGCCTCTCAAGGTGTGCAAGTTCAAGCACATGATGTGTAGGGCCCACCTGGGGGAAGGTTGGCTCTTCCCAGAGCAGAGGAGGAACTGGAGGTTTTTCTGGCTTTTGCAGTGTTTTCTGCTGCAGTTTGTGTGAGCAGGGAGTTGTTACACGGTGTTCTCTGTTACCCCTCCGCTTTGGGCATGACTGACTCCTGTGGGTGAGACCAGATGTCAAACAGGGGGCTAGAGAAGCACCTCCACTGCTGTGGGGGTGCTGTGAGGCTTTGCTGGGCCAGCCAGTGCAGAGCAGCTGGATTAGCCTCAGCTCTTGAACCTGGGTCATGGAGGGTGCTGATCCTATTCTCCATAGGCTCAGATGGGAAGAGCCAGTCCAGCAACATCACCTACATTACTCATGGAACTGAAGGATGAGTGAATACTCTCCCTCTTACCGTTTTTTGCATGGTTTATGTGTGTTACGTTTTACTGAATATCTTGAAAACCTGATCAAGAACATCTTTCCTCCCCTGTGCCCCTCCCATGGCATTGCCCTGACTCAGGTTGTTGAAAGTCCCTTCCCATCTCTGGGATTCACTGTGTCGCGTGGCTTTGAGAGCTCTACTGATGCTGCTCTACAGCTGCAATTACAGTGTGGCTTTCTGTGAGGAGGCAAATGACCTGTGGTAATAAACAACCTGTGCTGAAATTCAGATTTTATCTTTAATTTTTTTCTTAACCAGGAATTCCTGTTAAGCAATACTGACATCAACATTACAAGTGTTAACTCAGAGAACATGGCTCTATGACTAATTTACCAAAAAACTTTCTTTTTTCCTAGGACAGGAAAGAAGACAGTATATATTCAGTTATAAATGGCTTGGATAAACAAAAGCCCAAAGAAAATCTGGGGCAAAATGGTATTAATTATATTGTGAGTATATCATATTTAAAGGCGGGTGAAAACGACTTGGTTGGTTTTGGATTGTTATTAATTTAGAGTTTTATAGCCTGCATAGCTATTGATGTTGGCTGAGATAAATTGCTTGATAAGTAAGAATTACTGAAAATGTATTGGAGAGATATTTGAATTAGTTTTGCTCTCAGATTGAAAAATGGTGCTTACTATCAAAAAAATGAAAAACACATTTGCAGAGTCCCTCTGTGAAAATATTTAGAAGAATCATTACAATAATTGCTGAAAAGCCAAGTTTAGTATAAATGCATATGGTCACCTGCAAATTTTGGAAAGTGAATTAATCTAGCCTTCAGAGATTAACAAGAGTGCATTCAAATTTATTCATGCTATGTCTTTTTGATCTCATGAATTTAGATCTTGCCGTAAAACTCCTGACATAATTTCTCTTACGTAACTTAATGTTGCAGCGTGCAATGAGAGTCATCACTTAATCCAAATCTTCTGAATACTTTTCAGAAGTGGGTGTTGAGCCACAGTCATCTCTTCCTTTTAACTCCTGAGTAACAGAGAGAAGCTTCTGAGTCCAGAGTTGACTTTACCAGCCTGTCCTGCATAACCGACCCGTGTGATGTTACTGGAGTCACTGTGGGAGCTCTGTCAGTAGGGTACAAAACCACAAAAATAACTGTTGCTTCAAACGGGTGTTTTGCAAAAATAGATGTACCAAAAATAACAATTTAGCACTTTCATAACTTTGTCAACAGTTGCTGTCAAGGCTTAACTGGCAATTGTAAGTTTCTTTCAGGAAGAGCTGTGTCCCAGGTTGGGAGCTTCACCTCTGCTGGGCTCACAGCTGGAACCAGAAGTACAGGGAATGGAGATATTGGGTGTGCCCTGGGGCAATGGGGTTGGGAATTCTTGTCCTCAGCCTGGTATTGTGTATTGTGAACATGCCAGGTGTGCCCTTCACCACGGAGGAGGAAACACTTTGGTCACAGCTGCTGGCACTGAGGCTTCGTAGCACTGCTGCTGTGGTGCTGAGGAAACAACAGTCCAAAAGAGGTATTTTTATCTTAACGGTTTTGAACACCTGTGCAAGCCACCAAGATGTCATAAACTGTTGTATTCCTTGCTACTTGTTATGCATTGTGCCACTTACAAAAACTCTTAATCACAGCTAATGACAAGATCACACTTTGCTTCCACCTCCCACTGAGTCAGAGTTGAGGAAGCAGAAATGGCCCTGAGCCCCAGACACAACTGGCAGTATAAGAAACATAGTCTGAAAGGAACCTTGAAGGTGGTTGATGGTGAAATCCGAACCAAAGGAAACTGTGTTAGGGACATAGATACAGGACCTTGGGAATGTGGTAGGTCAGCCCTAGAAAGCCACGAGTTTATTATCTGACAGAGTAATCTGTTCTTTGACCTTATCAGTAACAAACCCCATTGCCTTTATTTCTCCTTTAACCCTCTAAGTTCCAGCCTCAGTAGTCTGTGGGGAAAAGGCCAAGATACGCCATCCACTGTCGTCATCCAAACCTTGTGTTTGCCTGCACACCCAGAGGAGAGCTGTCCCATTCATTTGGTGGAGGATTTTCTTCAAAGCTTAAACATAAATGTATTTGACTTTGTCGTTTGTAGTTGTTTTGCTCTATGATCTCGGGCAGAGGTTGAGCTGAATAACGATGTTTCTGTCTTAGTTTCACTCTAACTTCACCTAACCACAAGCCAGTCTCCTTCCTCCCCTTTCCAGACAACCCCTGGTTCCATGTCAGTCTCAGGAGGGCTGGAGCTCCAGGAAATCCAACCAGCTGAGAACTGCTTTCTGTTCCTGATGGGTGAGGCACCCTACACATCCAGAGTGTGATGTAGATTCACTGGTTTTCAGCTGTCGCTCAGCTAAAGCTGCTTCCCCTGCTCAGTGCTGGTTGTGGCTGTTTGGCCTGCTTGACCTTATTTCAGTTCTAGGCAGGTTCTGTCCCCAGCCCTTTTTCTGTCACACAGGCTGTTCTTTGCTGCCTTTAACCAGACCCTGCCACTTACCTGCTTACCCAGTTTGAAACGTGTTTCTCTGGTTCCTGTGTGTCCTCCTCAGGCTTTGTCACCGATGCTGTCATAGTGCCTGACTCATAAAATGGTCCTTGACTCGTGATCCTTCTGCCCAGACTTTATCTAGAGGACACCAGTATGTCTTGCCTGTGTCTTTCAAAACTTCCCTACCTCTGGAAACTGGAGCAGATCATGTCCTGGATCCAAGAGAGGTGGCCTGAATGGTAACACTTGTTCCTGTACACAGGGTGAGGTGATGCCTCAAGTGAAAGCAACTCCTCCTGACTGAAGCCGGGAGAAGGGCTGTTTGTTATTTCCTACCAAAAACTGGAGTGACCTTTACACAGTTTGGTGATGGAACTTTAAGAGCTTTTTATCTCAAAGAACAAGACATAGCAAGAACACCTCACCCAAGCAGGGGAATGAGCACGGGGCTTTGGCTAACAGAGGACGGATAAAGCCGCTGATAATGCAATTAAGCAAGGGAGCATCTGTGACTTACTGGGGTTCTGCTCATTTCTAGAGCTGGTAATGAAGGGGAATTAAAACTTCCTTTTTAGTGGTACAGGACAAACTGTGATTCTGTGCTCCTTTACAGGCCTGAGAATCAAAGAAAATCGAGCCATGAGTGAGGTGTTCTGGAAAGACCTGGAGAGAAATAGGGGCACACGAGGGAGACTTACATAAATGGCAAAGGGAAGAAATTATTCACAGAACAGGGAAAGGCCTAAGGAGCTACTGATCTGCAATCTCTCTCCTGCAAATTATGGGAAAGTAACCCATTTTTTGGTTTTTATTTTTATTTCTTATGTAATAGCTCATCTTCAAAAGGATTTAGAACAGATTTCCCTAGAGTGACTAAGCCAGTTTCAAAAACCTGGGAAAAAAAACCTGACTGGGAAGACTGCTTTTTCCATCTATACCCAACTCAACAGATAAAAATATGGCTGTGCCTTGTTCCATACAGGCCATCAAAGTTACCATCTCACCTTGGAAAGAACCCAGTATACAAATTCTGGTTTGTTTTCCAATTATCATAAGCAAAGTCTGGGGAAAAAAAAAAAAAAGAGTAAAGGATTGTGAGTGGGGTTTTAATTTTTTTAAATTTTGTTTTGTTTGGTTGGGCTTTTTTTATAATAGAAAAGAGGAAACAGAACTGCAGAGGGGGTTCCTATTCTGCTGCCCTCAAAGAAAAGGAAGCAGAATGAGCATGAATCTCCTGCCTGGAAAAATGAATCAGCCATCTGGCAGCTTGAGTTTATTCTGATCTTCTCTAGTGGTGAACCTCTGGCCATTAATTCAGACATGGAATTGCTATCTGACCTCTCCTTGCTCGGTTTCCTAACTGTGTGACTGAT